ATTCTTTGAATGTAACAAACTGCTTCAGCAGCCACATTGAAATTGCCTTCCACCCCCACCTGACGCCGTTCTCCCCTTTCTCTCTTTTCTCCTTTTGTGAGAATTTACTCCCTCAACAGTCGCTGTTGATTGCTCACGGCATTGCCAACGCCAGCACCGCCACCACCACCAGTTGACCTTTCACCTGTTCACTGGTCACTGGCTGACTAGTCCAGTGAGTGAGTGAGTGAGTGAGTGAGTGAGTGAGTGAGTGAGTGAGTGAGTGAGTGAGTGAGCTAGTGAGTGAGTGGCCATTACCCAAAGTCAGCAGTCAGTCGCCTTTTACTCCGTGTTCAGCTGTTGCCTGCTTTGCTGCTGTGCAGCCCTGAACTGAACCCTGCCTTCATTCTCTTTTGCTCACGGTTGAACTACTGGTGCGTCGCACACTGCCAGATTTATGCTGTTTTCAGTAAGTTCTGCCTGATCTCATCTCTTTTTTACTGCAAAGATATTTTTATTTTAATGTTATCATCATCATTTTCACCTTTTACTTGATTTCAATGTTGGATTGGTTTCTATTTATTTATTTTTGCTGTTTTTAAGCATTGAATTTTAAAAAAGATTTTTTATTTTTCTGTGTGTTCTATTGTTTGAACTCATTTTGTAAACTGCATTCCTTTTTTAGGTGTTCATTTAAAAAAATACTAAAAAATTTATTGACAATTTTTTTGTCGTTCAAACAACTTTTTTAGCTTTTTCGTTGGTTCAAATTTGTGTTTTTTATTTAATTAAATTTTGCAACCAAACTACAACTACTGGTTTTTGTCAACTTAGCAGCTATATTTTTTTGTTCAACAATATAAAAGTGTGTGTGCGTGTTTAAATTATTCAACTTGTCCATTATTCAATTTCAGCTCTCAGCAATTGAGCCGTTAATTTGCATTTGTAACTCAAAACATTATTTTGCCAGCTTGTCAGAAAAGTTGAATTGAAAAACATCATTTATTTTGTTGGAAGTTTTTTCTAGAAAGATTCCCTTAGCTCAGCAAATCATTTTCATTTAAATGCTCGCACACATTTTTTAAATAAAAAAGTGCTGTACTTTAGTTTTTCAAGTTTTAAAATGGTTGGCGAAGTTTGTTACCCATTAAATCAATAGTCTAAATTTTATTTTACTTCATTTTCTCAATAGTCCAATAAAAAACAAAACAGAGCAAAAAGCTGTTATGACAAAACTAATAAAATAAAATGAAAAAACTTTGAATTTACAAAATTAAGAACAAAAAAAATAAAAACTAACTTTACTTCAACACCCAACAACAACAAAAAGTACTTATTTAATGCGCATTATTAATCCGTCTAAACTGATTAGCTGACTAAAACTTAAAAACTAAAATTTGAATTGCAAAACAGTATTTTCTGTCTGTTCACACTGAACTAAAACTTTTTATTCATTGCTCACGCACTTTAAATTCAAACTCCCATTCATGATTGCCTCTCAATAACCAATTTTGTCGTTGCTCTATTTTTCTCCTGTTTTCTTAAATCTAGAACTCAATAACAACAGCAGCAACAAGTGCAATTTAATCAACTGCAACTTAGCTCTCTGCACTGTATCATCAGCTTTGTGGGAACCTTTCGACCCAATCTTTTTCTCATCACCCCCACCATCATCAAACTCCCAACAATGGACTTGCTACCTACACTGATTTCCAACGCCTCCCTCGTTGCAGCAACCGCCGCCGCCGCTGACGCCCCCTGGGTCGGCGCTGCCGCCGCCGCCGCCGCCGCCGCCTCCTCCAACCTAACCAACCTAACATCCTCCGGCGCCAGCGAGCAGACCCTGAACACGCTCTCTCTGGACAGCTCCGCCTCGAACTCGACCTCGCTCTTCAGCAGCGTCAACGTCTCGCACCCGCTGCCCTACCCGGAGACGCCCGCCGACATCCGCCAGTACCTGCTCATCTTCCGCCTGGTGCTGCTCGGCGTCGGCGCCCTGGACACCCTGCTCCTGCTCTTCGTCTACGTCAAGTGCGCCACCATCATCAGCAGCAGCCTGGGCGTCTACGTCGCCAACCTCTCCATCGCCGTCCTCGTCGACCTCCTCGACGTGGCCATCTGGGCGGCGAAGGAGTTCGGCCTGAAGCTGGAGGACCTCGTCTACCCGCTGCCGCAGTGGGTGTACAGCGCCCAGCAGCTGCCCGGCTCCCTCGGCCTGCCCACCACCTCCCTGCTGCTGGCCCTGCTCCTGCTGGACCGCCTCTTCGCGACCTTCTTCGCCGGCTGCCACCGGGGCTGCTTCGGCTTCCGCCCGACCGCCGTCGTCCTCTGCCTGCTCACCTGGGCCGCCTCCTTCGCCGGCGCCTTCGTCCTCGTCTACCGCGACCTGCTCTTCCCCCACGACCAACTCTACGAACAGCTCCGCTTCCTCGTCGCCTACCTCGCCCCCTTCGGCCTGAAGCTCCTGCTCCTGTTGGTGCTCTTCGCCAAGCGCAAGGTGGTGCCCTGCGCCGACGACGGCCAGTCGCTGATCGGCCGCCAGCGGGAGTCGCTCTACTACGCCCTCACCATCCTCCTCCTGCACCTCCTCCTCAGCGCCCCCTACTACGCCCTCCAGGTCAATCGCTGGTACCCGATGGTCACCGCCATCCGCATCGACGACTGGATGCTCCTCGCCGCCCTCGCCCTCAGCGAGCTGCCCCTCGTCCTCAACCCCCTGCTCTGCCTGTCTATCGACCCGGAGTTCCGTGAGTCACTCGTTTACCTGTGTTCCTGCACCGGCGGCAGCGGCCGAGGGGGCGGCCGAGGGGGNGGGCGGCCGAGGGGGCGGTGGCCGCCATGCCGAGCTGACTGATCTGTGTGATGACCACGGCGAGTCGCAGCCACTAGCTCCGATGGCCACCTCGCCCATGGCCGAGGAAAAGGAGCACCTGGATGAGGCGGAGCACTAAGAAGTTGCGAGCAAGCTAAAATAAGAGTTCAGAACCAGCAATTATCGCGTCGTAAAGATCAGTTCCACAGTATAAAATCTAGAAGACTTTGAACTCCTTGCATTTATCACCCCTATCTCCCTCTCTCTCTCTCTTTCTCTTCTCGGTAAGTGCACTGTTTTGTTGAATAGTTCAGAACTTTTAAGAGCTTTTTCATTCATCAGCACCTTCAATTGGTGTTGATCGTGTGAACTGACTCTATCGTACTGGCTCAGCATTCAACTTTAAAATTACATTAAACAGTTTTTTCATCGTTCTTATCTTTGTTTTCTATCCCCTTTTACCTTTTATTAGATCTGTACATAGCGTGTTCTCTCCTTCTCCCTCTCTCTGTGTGTATCTGCATCTCATCAGCATCGGCATCTCGCACTCATTTCTACCTACTCCCTAGCAAGTACTCAGTTGCACTTTAATTCACACAGTTCTACTACTCAACTACTACTCTCTAGCAGTTTGTTCTTTTCACACACACACACATCTTCTCACGTATCACGACGTATCACTTTTTGTCAACCCTATCACCTAGTTTTACCTTGAGTTCATTCATTTGGTTCCCGTGGCTGATTGCCAGGAAAAGAACGCTAAAGAAAGAAGTGGAAAAAATATTTATTACTACAAAAAGAGAACTTTCTAACTTTTGCAACAACAACAAATTGATCAAAATTGGCCATTACTTTTCCGATAAAATTTTCTTCACTTCTGTATTTTTAATTTTCATGTCGTTTTTGTATTTGTTTCTTTAATATCTCAAAAGTACTTTTCCTCTTCTTCTTCTTCTTATTAACTCGAGCCAAACCGAACACAAAAATTATTGAAAACCTGCAACATACTATCTTTTAGCATTTCCCGTGTACATAAATGTCCCTGTTTCTTTTCATCTTTCTTCATTCTTCTTTACAACATTATCACTTTAACTTGCCTCATTTTGTAATGGCAAGACTCTCTTTTTCACACCTGAACGGCAAACTACCACTTCAAGTTGAACCAAAGTAGACTCCGGTACTTGAATGATTTTTGTGCGAATCATTCGCCCCTCATTGTCGGCGTCCTTGAAGTGTTGCCCATCTCTCTCAATCTGGAACAAGCGCACATTACGAATAGATCCTGTTTTAGCCGGTAGTGAAATCCCTTTACTTTTCTGTAAATACTGTCCCCTATCATTCACTCTGTATATCACCTTCTCTAGACAGACTATCACTTGTGTGTGGTTTCCTTTGCTAGAAAACGAGACCTTTCTTCCTTTCTCGTGTAGAGATGTTCTTGCACATAAACACACACACACACACAAACTGTAAGTGAGTGTTTTCAGTGTGCAAACAAATACCCTCCGCTTCTATCAATCGCCAAAAAGCTCTTATTTACTCAAATAAGAGCTTTGATGATAGGGTGCGTCAAACTTAGACCATGAAAAGATACTAATGAGTGGCATTCTCTTTTGCTTGCCTACTTCTCTTTTCTGGTCACCCTCATCACTAGTTTAGCCAAAACAAACACACACATTTTGAACACTTGTATCATTTCTTTTGCTTATAATTTTGTCCAATCATTGAAGTATCTTCGAATTTCAATCGATGCATTTAACCCCCACCGTACTTATCACTTCAACAGAACTTGCAGAATTTAATCTACAAATGATAATGTGGCATTTAATAAAAAAATTTGGATCAACTTCACACACAACTAAATTTGTTCCATTTTTTGTAATGTTCATACTGCCAACCTTCAATTATTAACTCATTCAATTCTTTGGCCACCACCAACCACACTTTCTTTCTTTTTTTTTTGACTTTCACAATCTTTTCAAATAAAGTTATCCACACACACACACTTCTCAATTGCCCTCTTTTAATCATTATCAGTATAAATGTTGATCAGGATTAGTGTCTATCCCAATGCTCATCACTGTCACAGTACCACAACTTTGAAACACACTTTCACAAGCATTTTGACGCCACACACAAACACACATATTCTCTCTCATGTTTTCATTTTTTTTTCAATCATCTTAATCTTCTCTCCTTTTCAGCATAATCTGTTGGCAAACCGCCTCCGCCGCCATTAATTCTTAATTCTCATTTAAATCACATCAAACCATTTTGATTCTTTAAAAACGTTTTCACTACACACACTTTATCAAGAAAATCAGTCCAAAACTTTTAAAACATAATCTTCCCAATTTTTTTAAACTTTTTTTTGCTGCTAATTCAATCTTGACTCATTTCCTAATCCTCAGCAAAAAAATCAGAACACTACTTTTTAACAGTTATCAACATATTAAAAAGTTTAGTCACTTGATAAACGACCAGAGAGGCCTCACCCCAAACCGGTGCATCATCTCGTTCTTTTTTAAAAACTTTTAAAACTGGACGTTAACTTTGTTTTACTTTAAATGATTCAAGTTCTACCTTTTTCCTTCTTCTTGCAGCCACTCAGTCATTTAATTATTCGTTGCCGTTGATTTTGCGTCGATCTGATCGACTTGCATGCAAAGTCACCGCAAACACTAAATGATTTTCACTGAATGGTTTGCATGTTAGCAGTTTATTGATACATAAACACACTTACAATTCATACCCATCTTTCATTCATCATGTGACAACTTTAAAAAGCGTATTTTTATGCGTTTTTAAAAAAAGTTTTGCTGTTGCAGCTTCCGCTCGGCAATATCGTCTTCTTCATTGCTCAACAAACACACAAACACAAACAAACAAAAACACACTCTTCTTTTGTCCCCATCAACACTTTCATGATTTTGCACATTTTCACAGACTGACCCATCGTTTTATGAAACAATCATCATTGCTCTTTTTCTCTTTCTCTCTCTCTCTCTCTTTCTTTCTCGTTCACACTTCTTTTTCTTCACTGTCACCCTCATTAAAACACATAAACTCTCTCTCTCTCTTTTCTCTCTCTCTCTCGCTCCTTTTCAACACCGTTCTCTACGATTATTTTTATGTTCTTTTGCATTGCACACAATACAGCAAACACAAACACACACACAAATTCACATCTCTTTCTTAGGCACAATCTTTTCCACCAACACCACCAATTCAACAACTCGTAACTCTACGGCGGACAAAAATGCAGCCCAGAACGCGTCATAAACTACCATCACCACCTTTTCACTTTTCACTGTTTTGTTTTGTTACTTACTTCTTTCGCTACCATACACACACACACACTCTGTTGTACACACTGACCAACCTGAATTGGATGACTTGACCCTAGAGACCACTTCAGCTGCTGCTGCTGATGACTCCTCTAGGAACCAGTCGTTTTCTTTTATCTTCTCAGCTTTTCTCTCTCTCTCTTTCTTTCTCTCCAAACCAGTAATTTGCCAGGAACCATCTTAAGCACACACACTCACACACACTCATATAAAACTTCCCATAAAGTTCACAAGTTTAAGCATCATTTTAAGTACCAGCAGCAGAAGCAGCGTCGCCTCTTCTTCTTCTTCTTCTCCTCTTTTCCACTTTTCATTGGGCGCAGCAACAGCAGCAGCAGCCGCCAAACAGTAAAACACAGCATTAGCAGCCAACTGACCAGCGATGCAGTAAATTGAAATGACCATCGCCGTTTGGCATTCTCTGACTCTCTCTCTTATTTGTGGAGGAAAAAGAAACTGACCGGAACAAGGCATCCACAACAGCAA